ATAGCGCTATCCCCTGCTGAGAGCTGTCAGGCAATGACCATGCTTCAAGTCTAGGTGAGACTTAAAAGCCCAACGTTCTTTCCACACTGTACACATGTTAAGTTTGATCTTTTTAAATTGAAATTTGAAGAGCTTACCACGATTTGTGATCCTGCAAACAATCTAACTGAAGGCAAATTCTGAATCAAATCTAGATGAAATGTATTTCTGATTCATTTTTAGGGCTAAGACTGAAAAAAGATGAAACTGTTTTTAGCATCTCTCTTAAGCAGAAACAGAGCAGACCTTAGTCAGTTATTGTCATACTCACTAAAGTCACAGGCATGGGATAATGGAAAATGAAAAGGAACAAGAATCTGAAGACTACGGAAGTGGCTGTGTCAGAAACGCACATGTATTTAGCATTATGTGCTAGGCACTACTGTATAGATTTCACATATGCTATTTGATTTAATCCTTATAACATTATTTGTGAGGTTGAAATGATCATATATATATATATATATCAAGGAGACTTAGGGCAGTTAAATGACTATGGAAACGGACACATCTAAAAGAAAAAGAAGAAAAGAAGGAGGAAAGGAGGGAGAGAGGAACAGAGGAAGGGAGGAAGAAAAAGAGAGAAAGAAAAGAAATTCGTAAGCTAGAAAGTAGTACAGACAAAATTTTAAACATAATTTCCCCCCACTAAGTAGTTGTTTCCCTATAGAATTCTAAATCCATAGCACTTTTCTTATTGTCTACAAGAGTAGATATTATTCTTCACATCTGAAGTTTATTATAAAAAGTTAGCTACATTTATAATAGGAAAAGACTCAGAAGTTGGGAAAAATGAGTGTGTTTTTTTCTTTTCATTTATCATGTACCTATGACATGTAAGGTGTTATAGATCTATTTTGTTAATTTTTCTCTAGACAAGTATAACAATTTATTAAAGAATTATGTCATTAGTCTCTCCCCCAGAAAAGAAAACCTGTCTATGAAAATAATATGATTAGGCATAACCATTAAATAATTAACGTTAAAAGTAAATATTCTTGACTCCTACTTAGGATGAAGAATTGCAAGAGAATTTAACTTCCAACAATAACAACCAGAACAAACCAATTAATCTACAAAAATAAGTTTCTTAAAATGCATCCCACAGCTGAGGATATACAGGAACCTAAATGAACTAGACCATAGAAAGCAGTGAGCCCTTTCAAGGACATGAGAGGCCCACAGTTGCCGTTCATCCCGGGCAGAACGGCAAGAGGCAGGGGAAGCTGCCGTGGCTTCGTCGGGGTGAGCAGGTGCAGCTTCTGACAGACCTGCTACAGCCGCACACGGGCTGGCAAGGCAGTTCCAGCTGCTGAGAGGCCCCAGCGGCAGGGAAGACCTGCACTCACCCCTCAACTCTTTCCCATCCGTGTACTCAAGCGTGAGAGATGAACAATAGAAAGGAAAGCCCAATGGACATGGTAGAAACGAATTATGTTAACTGAAATGAATGAGTCATCAGATGATACTAACAGTGACCATACAGAGCAGAAAAGAGAATTAACTTAATTATGGCCAAGAATCTTCCAATATGTTAACCCATATTCAAAAAGCTTAAAGAAATGCAAGTAAGGTAAATTCAAAGTAAAACTGTACCTTGGTACATCAAGTAAAACTTCTGCTGAAAAATTAAAAAGAATCTTAAGTATGGATCAGAAAACAGACAAGCTACAAACAAGAGAACAACAAAAATCACAGCAGGCTTTTTACTAGAAATAATAGAAGCCAGAAGACAATAAAACAACATCTTTAAAACACTAAAAGAAAAAAATTGGCATTCCATAGTCAATCAAAAAGAAAGTTTTGAAAATGAAAGCAAAATAAACACATTTTAAAACAGAAAACAGATGAGAGAATGTATACCTAGCAAACATACTAAAAAAGAAACTCTTTGACTAAAGGGAAATGCTTTCAGATGTATGCCTGAATCTGCAGGAAAAAAAAAAGCAGCATAAAGCATTAAAATATGGATAAATATTAAAAACTTTTAAAACTATCTTCATTTTGTACAATATATTTATTTTATTTAAAATTCTATTATTGTTTAAACAAAAATAACAGTAACACATACCTGAATGTTTTAACATGTACAGAATTAAAACACATGTTGATAATAATACAAAGTGTATGTGACATAAATGAAAGTATAGTGTATATAGCTCAACAAACATCAAGTAGGTCAAACTAAAAGAGACCTCATTTAGACACATCATGATCAAATTATTAAAAGACCAAGACAAGGAGAAAATATCCTGATAGTAGAGAGAAAAGTGAGTCATGTGGAGGGGATCCTTGATAAAATTAATAACTGACTTCTCATCAGAAACTATGGAGACCAGAGGCAGTAAGGTGACATAGTCAAAGTGCTGAAAGAAAAAACTGTCAGCCAAGAAGTCTTCAAACAACAAAAGTGAAATTAAGAAATTTCCAGAAAAATAAAAGCTGAGAACTCATCTCTAGCAGACCTTCCCTATCAGAAATACTAAAAGGAGTCCTTCCTTCAGGCTGAAAGAAAAGCACACTACACAGTAACCTAAACCCACACAAATAACATCCCAGCAAAGGTAACATGTGCAAATGTACTGATAAAAATATACAAATGTATTTTTGTTTATAGCTGTTCTTCTTTATCTTCTATATCTTCTATATTCTTCTTCTATCTGGTTTAAAGACAAATTCATAAAATGATAATTATAAAATTGTGTCACTAGGGACTTCCCTGGTGGCCCAGGGGTTAAGAATTTGCCTTTCAATGCAGAGGACGTGGGTTCAAACCCTGGTCAGGGAACTAAGATCCCACATGCTGCGGGGCAACTAAGTCTAAGAGCCGCAACTAGAGAGAAGCCCGCATGGCAAACTAAGACCCAACACAGCCAAGTAAATAAATAAAGGGTTTTTTTTTCAATTGTGCAGCAAGACTTTTAATATATAAAGATATAATTTGTATGACAATAATAGTACAAAGGAAGTAGAAGGGAACAGCTATATCAGAGCAAAGTTTTTGTATACTATTGAAATTAAGTTAGTATTAATCTGAACAGGTTTGTTTTAAGTTAAACTGTTAATTTTAATCCCTAGAGTTACCACTAGGGTACTATATTTTAGGAAAATAACTCAAGGAAAAAAATATAAATATATATATATAGTAAAAGAAAAGCACAACAATGTGGAGAGGACAGAGTGCAGAGCCACTTAGGAGGTAGAGTTAATGGAAATGTGTACTGGAGGAAAGTGAGACCTTCTCCCTCAAGAAGCACACGGTCTACTGAAAGAGTCTGAAGCGTGAGCAAAAAATTATATTGTGCCCAATGACTGGAACATAGACTAGGGGAAGGACAGTCACAGGAGATAAGGCTGAAACTGGATCCTAAGGACTGACCTTTGTTCCTAAGGTACTAGAGTCCTTTAAGGAATTTTGAGAAAAGAACTGACGTGATTTTGAGCAAAGAAATGATGGTAAGTCATTAGAGAAATGCAAATCAAAACTATAATAAAATACCATTTCTACTCATGAAAATAGCTACAATAAAAAAGACAATAACAAGTATTGGTGAAGATATGAAGAAACTAGAATCCTCACACATTACCTCTTTGGAAAACAGTTTGATAATTCCTGAAAATGTTAAACATTGAGTTACCATATCACCTAGTAATTCTACTCCTAGGTATATACCCAAGAAAACTGAAAACATATGTCCATACAAAACTTGTATATGAACATTCATAGCAGTATTATTCATAATGCTCCCAAACTGATGAATGGATAAACACAAAGTGATATATCCATACAATGAAACATTATCTAGCATAAAAAGGAATGGAGCACTGATACACGCTACAATATGGATGCACCTTGAAAACATGAGATGTGAAATAAGACAAACACAAAGAACACATGCTACACGATCCCATCTATATGAAATGTTCAGAGTAAGCAAACCCACAGAAACAGAAAGTATATTAAAGACTGCAAAAGGCTAGAGGAGCAGCGAGGGGAGGAGGAGGAAACAGAAAGTAACTACTAATGGACGTGAGGTTTCTTGTTGACTTAAAAAATGTTCTCAACTTACATAGGGGCATGGCTGCACAATTTTGTGAATATTGTAAAAACCACTGAGTGGTACACTTTAAAAAGGTAAATTTTGTGGTTTATTAACTGCATTTCAATAAAGCTGTTATAAAACAAAAACCATGATGAGCTACCATTTCATACCTAGTAGAATGAGTAAAATCAAAAAGACTAGAAATACCAGTGTTGGCAAGGATGGGGAACATTGCTGCTGCTCAAAGGGTAAAACAGTACAACTGCTTTGGAGAACTGTTTGGCAGTGCTGAGTAAAGTTAAACAGACATCTAACCTATGACACATCAACTCCTAGTTATTTATTTAAGATAAGCGAAAACTTGTGACAAGACTTGTACAGAAATGTTCACAGTACCTTATTAATAAGAGTCCAAAAATGGAAACCATCCAAATGTCCATCAACAGGAGAACAAATAACTTATGATATATAATTATACAATGGAAAATTACTCAGCAGTGAAAAGCAAGCTGATAGGTACAGGAATATGGATGAATCTCAAAATTATTATCTCGATGGAAAGAAATCAAACACACACACAAAAATTATACCTTAACAATAGGATTCTATTTATAGAAAGCTGAAGAACAGGCAAAACTACTCTGCCATAGCAGAAGCAAGAACAATGGCTTCCAGAGCAGGGTAGAGAGGAAGGGGCACAAGAGACCATTCAGAGTGATGAAAGCATTGTTGATGGTTATACACATTTATAAAACTGTCAAAATTAATCAGAACGAATGCCTAAGATCTGTGAATTTTATTGAGTATAAATTTTATTCCAATTCAAACAGAAATCACAAGATGTGGACAAAGATTCTACTAAAATAATCATGGATGAAGAGATACAAAGTGAAAAATTCATAAATAAATATTTCTTACTGTAGTTTTGTGGCACAAGTTCTGGGTTCTTAGGATTTTTCAACTTGTAGGATACATCTCCAATATTAACTGTATCACCTAAAAAGAGAATACAGAAACACAATCATTTTAAGAAACAAGTAAGAAAGCAATACACTATGCCTTTTGCAATAATGATTCTCCAGACTACAGATAGGGATGTGTGTATCACAGATATGACTGTGTCAGCCGACCACAGACACACCTGTCTACGTCAGGCACTATGCTGTAAAACTGGCGTCTACAGTAAGTGATACATGCGTGTGTGCTAAGTCGCTTCAGTCCTGTCCTACTCTTTGTGACCCTATGGACTGTAGCCCGCCAGGCTCTTCTGTCCACGGGATTTTCCAGGCAAGAATACTAGAGTGGGTTGCCATTTCCTTCTCCAGAGGATCTTCCTGAGCCAAGGATCAAACTCACGTCTCCTGAGTTGGCAGGCAGATTCTTTACCACTGAGCCGCAGGGAAAGCCAAAATACTGTTAAAGACACCTGTATTTATGGTATTCATTAAATCTTGACTCTAAGTCACCCATGGCTTCTGTGAGTTATTTCATAGAACTGCTGTAACAGAAACTCCATCTCAAACTAGTTCAGCACAAGGACGTGGGGGGTTTTGTTACTGCAGTTCTATGAAGTCGCTCACAGGAACCACAAACACACCATGAAGAGACCTAGGCTCAGAAACGAGCCCACAGTATCCCAGGAGAGGCCACAGGATGCACAGTCCAAGTCACATCCCAGGAGCAACGGACTGAGAGACCACCCCTGGCACCACCTGCTTCACTGTGGGACCCCTTGGGCAGGGCAACTCTCCCCCATTTTATATGTCTCAAACCTGTAGGAGAGTTTAAAAAACACTATCTTAAGATGCAAAAGTCATGACTCTTCAGCTTTCAAGTCTTCAGAGGCATCTTCTAATAAAAAGCACACTGTCCTAAGTAAACTGTTCTTGCAGTTTTCCTAACTCCATCATGACTCAACCTCACGGGCAGGAAAACTGAATCGACCCAGCCTACGTCATTACTCACAGTCTGGCTGCCGGGGCTTGCCAGGCAGGGCCACCCCCCTCTCTCTCTCTCCCTCTCTTTCTCCCCCCACTTCTCCTCCTTGCCCTCTCACCTCCTCACCTCTCCTACCTCATTATGACTCAAGTTTTCTTTGCCTTTCCTTCTGCTCTTCAAGTTCTTATTGGGTGTGGAGAGCCGGTTCTAGCCTCTTTTCTATCTATAATCTCTTCTTGATGAGCTCATCTGGTCTTGTGCCTTTAAGCGCAATATACTGCTTGCTCCCAAATTTGTATCTGTAATCTCGACCACAGAACTTAAAGCATGGGCAACAACAGTCTCTGAGATGCCTAACAGTCACCTGCCAGTTGGCATATTCAGACCTGAACTTCTGATCCGGCTGGGCTCCACCCACAGAATCCCCCAATTCCGCAATGGCAACTTAATGCTTCCAGTTTCTCAGACCAGAAATCTTACAGCCAGTCTTAACTGCTCTCTCCTGCACCCCATCAGAAAACAGTACTGACTTTGTCATTAAGATACCTGTAGCACTGGGCTTCCCTGGTGGTCTAGTGGTTAAGAATCCGCGCGCCAGTGCAGGGGACAGGGGTTCGATCCCTGGTCTGGGGAGGTACCACACGCCTCGGGGGAAACGAAACTTAAGCACCACAGCTACTGAACCTATGCTCTGGAGCCTGAGCTCTGCCACGAGAGAAGCCGCCTCAGAGAGAAGCCCGCTCTTACTGCGAGAGGAAGCCAGTGCACAGCAACGAGAACCCAGGCCACCAAACCTTAATTAATTGACTTAAAAATATACATATGTAGTGCTGCCCGCTTCTCCCGCCATCCTCCACCACCACAGTGCCGACCCAAGCCAGTTAGGGGTTTGCTACTTAAATCCGGTTTCTCATTTAACAGCGTTATCTCTCACCTCCTTTCACACCTCCTGTCTCAATGCTGGCACTCCACAGCTAATGCCCAGCAGACTGCCCACAGCAATCACAAGAAAACAGGAATGAAGTGGCGCCAGTCCTCTGCTCAAGCCCCACCTTTGCAATGGCCTAAAAGGCTGCTTCTGATCTGGCTCCCCACCGCCCTCCTAAAGTCATCTCCTACTAGCGCCCTCCTCTCTTCTGCTCAGCAGCAAGGTCTCTCACTGTTCCTTCAACATGTCAGACATGTATTCATTTCAGGCTTTTGTGCTGGATTTTCCTACTGACCAAAATGCTTTCCCTAAATGCATCCATTATCAGTCATGGCCCCAACAAGAAACGGACAGCTCATTCAGACTGAGTGACTGAGGAGAGAATACTTAAGGAAGCATTTATGACGGTGTGGGCAGAGTCTGGGAAAGCCAACAAAGATGGTGCAGGCCCCTGGGGCGAGCAGTAACAGAAAGCCGTCACCACCACTGGGCCTGCAGGAGCCAGGGAGGGCAAACAGAGAGGGCAAGCGTGTTTAGAACAACAAACAACGCAAATCTAAGGTGGTAACGGGCCAAGAGGAAACCGGGGAACAAACACGAAGCAAAAACTGACAGAACTGAAAAGTCAGAGGAGACAAATTTAAAATCATATCTGGATATTTTAATACATCTCTCTCAGTAAGTGATGGAAGAGTGGGGGGAAAAAAAAGGAATAAAGTAAACATGATCACTTCTTGACCTTTTGGCTAAGACCAAGTGGAGAAGCAAAGACCTGAAAACATTATAAACCACTTAACCTAAATCGCCCTTATAGAACACTACACCCAACAATGGCAGAATTCTTTTTAAATACACATACAACATTCACCAAACTAGATCTCTGGCTGCACCATAATACAAGTCTTAATAAATTTCCAAGGACTGAAATCATACAAAGTATACTTTCTGATCAAAATGGAATTAAACCAGAGCCTCATAACAAAAAGATAATATTCGGGAATCAAGCAACAGGCTTCCAAAAACCCAAAGAAGAATTCACAATGGAAACTGGACTCATTAAGAAACAGTGTAGTGGGCTTCCCTGGTTGGCTCAAAGGTAAAGAATCCACCTGAGTTTGATCTCTGGTCCAGGAAGATCCCACATACCATGGAGCAACTACACCCATGCACAACGACTGAGCCTGGGCTCTAGAGCCTGGAAACTGCAACTACTGAAGCCCAAGCACCTACAGCCCGTGCTCTGCATCAAGAGAATCCACTGCAAGGAGAAGCCTGTGCACCACAACTAGAGTGGCCCCTGCTCACCACAACTAGAGCAAGGCTCTCACAGCAACGAAAACGCAGCCAGCCAGATAATTAACAATAATTACTATTAGTAATAAATAAACAGGGCAGTGATCAATTAGTCATGCCTGCTGCAGGCAAAGAGGGAAATGACACTCACGGGGTGGAGGCATTTGTCCTTCCTGCCTCAAATGCCAATGTTCCTGGCTAACTGCTGTTACCATACTACACTTCGCTGAAGCATCTAATCCATACCAATGAGCCCCCTTTGACCTCTGCACAACTAAAGCCTTATGTGTCTACTTTGGCTGAGATCTCTCTCCTGAGTTCCATGCCTCTCAGTAGCCTTTTGGACACTTCGAAATTCCAGACACACCTCAAATTTAACATGAGAAGAACAGAACTCTAAGTTCTCTGTGTGTGTTGTCCAACCCTCTACAACCGGCTCTACCAGCTCTATCTAAGAAAATGATGCTTTTTATCTCAGCCTAGAAGGCAAAAAAAAGCAGAGACATTACTTTACCAACAAAGGTCCATCTAGTCAAAGCTATGTGTTTTTTTTTCATTTATTTTTATTAGTTGAAAGCTAATTACTTTACAATACTGTAGTGGTTTTTGCCATACATTGACATGAATCAGCCATGGATTTACATGTGTTCCCCATCCCGATCCCCTCTCCTGCCTCCCTCCCCATCCCATCCCTCTGGGTCTTCCCAGTGCACCAGCCCTGAGCACTTGTCTCATGCATCCAACCTGGACTGGTGATCTGTTTCACCCTTGATAGTATACTTGTTTCAATGCTATTCTCTCAAAACATCCCACCCTCACCTTCTCCCAGGGTCCCAAAGTCTGTTCTATACATCTGTGTCTCTTTTTCTGTTTTGCATATAGGGTTATCATTACCATCTTCCTAAATTCCATATATATGCGTTAGTATACTGTATTGGTCTTTATCTTTCTGGCTTACTTCACTCTGTATAATGGGCTCCAGTTTCATCCATCTCATTAGAACTGATTCAAATGAATTCTTTTTAATGGCTGAGTAATATTCCATGGTGTATATGTACCACAGCTTCCTTATCCATTCATCTGCTGATGGGCATCTTGGTTGCTTCCATGTCCTGGCAATTATAAACAGTGCTGCGATGAACACTGGGATGCACATGTCTCTTTCAGATCTAGTTTCCTCAGTGTGTATGCCCAGGAGTGGTATTGCTGGGTCATATGGTAGTTCTATTTAAAGCTATGGTTTTTCCAGTAATCACATATGGATGTGAGAGTTGGACCATAAAGAAAGCTGAGTGCTGAAGAATTGATGCTTTTGAACTGTGGTGTTGGAGAAGACTCTTGAGAGTCCCTTGGACTGCAGGGAGATCCAACCAGTCCATCCTAAAGGAAGTCAGTCCTGGGTGTTCATTGGAGGGACTGATGCTGAAGCTGAAACTCCAATACTTTGGCCACCTGATGTAAAGAACTGACTCACTGGATAAGACCCTGATGCTGGGAAAGATTGAAGGCAGGAGTCTCCTTCAACAGAGGATGAGATGCTTGGATGGCATCACCTACTCAATGGACATGAGTTTGAGCAAGCTCCCTGTTGGTGATGGACAGGGAAGCCTGCTGTGCTGCAGTCCATGGGGTTGCAAAGAGTCAGACATGACTGAGCGACTAAACTGAACTGAACTGATCCATAGAAAAGCACTGAATTCCTTAACTTGGGTTATCTGGTTTTTTCTTTCATTAACAGTGATCTTTTGATGTGTTCTGAGTAGCTGATCTCGACTGCAAAATCTCCTACATACCCTGACTCCCCATCATTGCCTCTTTGGAGCAGTCTCTCAGAGTT